CCTCACTCTGGTCTCTTCCGCTCAGAGTTTTATTTACCTGTTTCATAAATTTCTGTCACACCCCAAAAGTTTAACTCCCCTGGACAGCGGAGGCAGCGCTGCCGGCACCCCTTGTGTGACATGCGCGTTTTGCCAGGTACAGAGACCTGAGCTGATTCATGCAAGGTTCCCAAGGCCGGTCTCGGTCCACCCCAATAGCCAGACCACTGGAGGAGCCCGAGAGAGGTGGGCAGTGCTCACCATACCAACACACACTTCCCCGGGGCTCCACAGTGCACCAGAGGAGGACGCAGCACAAGGCGGCACACTAATTTACAACCCCAGGATGCAATCAGACTGGGAGAGCATTAAGCCAACTCCCTAGTGCTGCTCTGATGCGTTACCTGGAGGGAACCAGCTATCAGCTGGAACCCACTCTCCTCATCCCCAACTAAATACTCAGGCATAGCTGGGCATGGTGGCGCACGCCTGTAATCCCAGCACTCGGGAGGCTGAGGCAGGAGGATCGATGCAAGTTTGAGACCAGCCTGGGCTACAAAGTGAGCTCAACACCAGCCTGAACTGCATAGGGAGACACTGTCTCCAAAAAAACAAACAAAAAAACCCCCACAACTCAGGCCTGGGATTTCTAAGTGACAGCAGCACAGACTAAGAGGCAATATGGTACATCCACTTCCAACCACTGACAAGAATATCACATACACACATTTGCAGAATAGAAGTCAGGGGCCCTAGTACCTGGGTCTGCGGCAGAGGGATACCAAGTCTGAGCCCAGCCTGGACAATTTGGCAACTTAGGGAGCCCTTGGCTCAAAATATAAAATTAAAGATAAAAGAGCTGGGGATGTAGCTCAGGGTGAAGGCCCTGGGTTCAATCCCCAGTATTACCACACACAAAAAAATTATTCTAAGTGTTACTGAGTGTGGTGGCACATGCCTGTAATCCTAGCTACTCAAAAGGCTGAAGCAGGAGGATCACAAGTTCAACCCTAACCTGGGCAACTTAGTGAGACTCTCTCTCAAAATTTAAAAAAAAAAAAAAAAGAAAGACAATAGAAAGGGCTATTGCTGAGGGTTCCCTGGGTTCCATCCCCAATACCACAACAATAACCAAATAAATTAGCTACTACCAAACCTGGAAAACCCCAAAGATCTGAAAACTGTCATGCCAGGTGTAATGGCGCACGCCTGTAATCCTAGCACTTGGGAAACTGAGGCAGGGGGAGCACCTTGAGTTCAAGGCCAGCCTGGGCTACACAGTGAGTTCAAGGCCAGCCTGAACTACCTAGTGAGACCCAGTCTCAAAAATCCAAAATAAACAAGGAAAGTCTTGTCTTCTGTAAGAGCAAACAGTAATTTTTCCAACCCAAAACCAGTGCTGTTTGGTTTCCTTAAGTTTGTAGAGAACAGTTTTTTTATCTACTATTGTAAAATGTTTTTGTTTTTTTTTTTTGTCTTTTTTTGAGACAGGGTCTTGCTATGCAGTTCAGGCTGCCCTTCAGCTCACTTTGTAGCCCAGGCTGGTCTCAAACTCGCAATGATCCTCCTGCCTCAGCCTCCCGAGTGCTGGGATTACAGGCGTGTGCCACCATGCCCGGCTATTGTAGAATATGTATCATGTAAACACAAGAATACATATCCAGTTTAAAAAAGAACAAAATCAAACACCTGGGACTCACCAGTCAGGCAAAGAAATGATGTGACCTTAGAAATTTTGTTCCCTTTCTTCATTATATCAACCTCTTCCCTCCTAAAGAGAACCACTCCCCTGATTTCATTATTCCTATTTGTTTTTAGAATTGGTTTTATTTAGGGCAGGGACTTACTATGTTGTCCTATCTGGTCCTTAATTTTTGAGCTCAGGCAATCTTCCTGCTTCAGCCTCCCAAGTAGTTAGGCCTACAGGTACATGCCACTGCATCCAGCTCTCCCATATATATTTACAGTTTTACCACCTATGAGGATATCCATTTAAAAATGTATCGTTTAGTTCTGTATTTTAGTTTTGTTCTGTTTTGTTTTGTGTTTTTTTTGAGACAGAGTCTTGCTATATAGTTCAGACTGGCCTTAAACTCACTACATAGGCTAGGCTGGCCTCAGCAATCCTCCCGCTTCAGCCTCCTGAGTGCTGGAAGTATGCACCATCACACTCCGTTTTAAACTTTTATATATAACGGCATCATACTATATCTATTTTTCCATGACCTGCTTCTCTTGCTCAATGTTATGTCTCTGAGATTCCACCACGCTAATGCACCTGTCTGTCTTACTGTAGGGCAGTATTCCACAGAGGAGCAGAAGACAAGCTATGGTAATAGTTCTAAAGTCAGCCAGACCCTCTGACTGCACCCTAACGCAGGCTGTCTGCAAACAAACGTATGCGGTATGAGTCGTGCCTCAGTCTGTGCTGGCTTCCATAAGGCACAGCAGATGGGGAGGCAATTAGAGATGTTTCACTTGATTGTTCTTCAGGAGCGCGGCCAAGATCCCACCACGTCTGGAGCGCTGAGGCCTTGCTGGAGCAAGCAGGTGGTGGCGGTGCCGCGCAAGCTCGGGCAGACACACTCCTCAGCGCAAACCCTTCCAAGCTCCACCACTCCACAAAGCAGCAGAAGGGGAATGGGGGTGCTGCTTTGACACCACCGGCCTCGCCTTCAAGGGCACAGCAAACACCTTCCTTTGGTCATGGTGAACAGCACCCAGGTCCAAGAAAAACCTGCCCTTCAGACAACAGAAGCTAAATGCTCAGTCTCGGAAGCACAGGCTGAAGCCCGTCACTCTCTCTGTCCGGGAAGCCAGGACAGGGAGCATGGACTGCCCTGGAGTCTAGAAGGTTCCATTCGCCACCCCCCAACCACAGACCTTGAAAACTGCATGTGCTGTACCTCACTTCTCAGGTTTGGGGGTTCCAGGAAGGGATGCTTCACAGGACAGTGCAGACGTGAGGGAAAGACACTGCCACCTTCACTGAGCCACGCTCAGCACGAGAGACCCGCGGGGTGACTCGGGTCATTCCTACAACAACCCTGGGGCACAGGTGATATCTCCATCCTACACTTCAGGAAACTGAGGCTCCAGTATCACACGGCAGGTAAACGCCAGGCCAGGCTTTGATCCGTCTTCTGATCCCAAAGCCCTACGCGCTTCTCCAGCAGACCAGCTGCGGCAGTATGTACGCAGGTGATCTTCACACTAGGCTCCCCGGGGTGATCTATGAGGACGCAGGACATACACCTGGATGGCAGGGGCCTGTGAAAACACACAGCTCTGTGGACTCTAGTGCTAGGCTCACCGAGAGGATGCGGGAAGGCACTGTGCCCCACCGTGAACCAGCCCTGAACGTCTGCCGTGGAGGGTGGGCAAAGCGTGGTCCCACTTTCTGCTGAGGTCTGGATGCTGTTTCAGGAGGAACAATCTTCCACACAGAGCACACCAAACAAGGGTCTTCAGGATTTAGGAATTTAAGGTTGATCAACTAGAGAAATTCAGAGCCTAATAAACAGGTCAAGAGTTTAGGTCCAAGGTCAGGCGTGGTGGCATACTCCCATAATCCCAGCACTTGGGAGGCTGAGGCAGGAGGATCGTTGTGAGTTTGAGACCAGACTAGGCTACAAAGTGAGCTCAAGGCCAGCCTGAACTGCACAGCAAGACCCTGTCTCAAAAAGACAAAAACAAACAAAAAAAAGAGTTTGGGACCAAACTTGTCAAAAACTAGACTCTGCCCTTCCAGCCCCATACTCAGGGACATCAGTGTGTGTGACACAGACTCTCCAAGTCCAGCTAAAAGACCAAGGTAGCGGTTACGAGACACCAAACTCAGAAGGCTTCACTCTGCGGAGAACGAAGTGCTGAAGTGTCCTTGCTCCCAGCTGTCCCCGCTGTCCCCTCCAGCTCTGGACTGTGCTTTCGCTGACACAGGACTAGCCAGTCACACTGCCGGTCCCGTCCTGTCACACCTGACAACTGGCCCCATCTTGTGAGCCATCTAGCAAGGCACAGAAAATACACCTGGTCTTCAGGCATCGGTAACACCTCTGCAGAGACTCGGAGAGAGAGCGGGGACCTGCTCTCTCTAAGGATACTATGGACGAAAGATCCAAACCTCCACCCGGTCTGGCCCCACTAGCTCCCAGTCACCTAGTAAACCCACAAAACAAGCAAATCTCGAGAAGCCCACAGCTGTCCTTGCAGGGACCTGTCCAGAGCCTGTAAGTGCTGGCTGAAACCAGGCTCCATTGTTCAGAGAACTGTACCTCGCTCCCTAGGATTTGTGTGAGGGGATTTTTACCAGTTACTCTTTCTTGGTAGATGACAAAGATCTATGGACTATATGCATAGGATTCCTTTCCTTAAAAAGTCTGGGAGTTTTGTACTCTGTAATAAGCATTAAAGAAAGAAGCAACCTCCTTCCTCATCTCTCTGAGTCTAACACGTTTAAAGCTACTCTCCTGCCTAGGAATTCAGTTGCTCTGCGTTGGACAGGAGTTGTACCATTAACACAGGTGTAAGATGGGAATTGCGACAGATGATCTGACATCACTTGTGAGACGCGTAACAAGTAAAACACATCTTGAACTCTAAGTGTAGAAGGTTTTAACCAACACTCCAAAAGGAACCACGAACCATCCCCAAATGTAGAAATGCAGTCAGAATCTTTCACATCAGAGAATCAATGCTGTAAGCACTTCCATGTGCATCTTAGAAGGACAACTGTAGCCACCACAGTCCCTTATGTATAAAAAAGCAGTCACATTCTCTGATCAATGGGTGCTTTTACCCAAACAACCTACCCAGCCCCAACCTTTATCAAGGAACCACTGACCCTTCTAAGAAGCCTGAGTTCTCTACTCCCCTCTGGAACCCCTTAACATAGTCTGTCAATTGTAAGAGCTCTGAAATCTGCAGTAGTTGCTAAGTTAAGCCTCAGGACGCATCTTAGCCTGTTTTCAATAGCTTCGAGCATGTTCCCAGCTCCTCCTCATCAACAACAGGGGTCTTACCGGGATCTCCCACCAAAGCAGTTTGTGCTGGTGGGCGGGTGCCTGTTCTCGGAAGCTACACTTGACCCGCTGGACTCTCTGGAAGGCAGCTGTGATCCTAGAAAGGGGATCAATCAGAAGAAAAGACAGAAATGTTGAGAAACAGTCCTTGTTTGAGAGTTGAGAACTCTGTGTATTGCAGTCACCCACCAGGATGGGTGTGGACATCACCATCACTGCAGTTGCTGGCGCAAGAAGGAATAAGGACAATCACAGGAGATCTGATTCACACGGTGACCCAGGGGGCTCAAACCCAGGAACCTGCTTCTCTTCACCAAGACACGCAAGGATGTCCACGGCACTAACACAGGAACTTGGGCCTCAAGGGTGTGAAACCAGATGCCGACATGCAGAGTGGGCACAAGGGTGGGGACGTTACTCCATGGTGCAACCAGACAGCTCTTTTGAAAAGCCAAATCATGGGTGGGGGGGTAGTGCACGCCTGTAACCCTAGCACCTGGGAAGCTGAGGAGAGAGGATCACAAATTCAAGCCCAGCCTGAGCAACTTGGTGACTTAGCAAGACCCTAGTTTTAAATTTAAAAAAATTTTTTTAAGTTTAAAAAGGGTTATAAGGCCGGGCGTGGTGGCGCAGGCCAGTAATCCCAGCACTTGGGAGGCTGAAGCAGGAGGATTGTTGCGAGTTTAGACCAGCCTGGGCTACAAAGTGAGCTCAAGGCCAGCCTGAATTGCACAGAGAGACCCTGTCTCAAAAAGACAAAAAGCAAAACAAAACAAAAAGGGGTATAGATAGAGCTCAAGCCAAAGGCCCAGATTTAACCCCTGTACTGCAAAAATAACAATGATAAAATAAAGGGTCTAATCACACCATGACACTCTCTTACTAAAAGTCCTTCAGGCCGGGCATGGTGGAGCATGCCTGTAATCCCAGCACTCAGAAGACTGAGGCAGGAGGACTGCTGCAAGTTCGAGACCAGCCGGGGCTACATAGTGAGCTCAAGGCTAGCCTGAAATGCATAGGGAGACCCTGTCTCAAAAAGACAAAAAAAAAAAAAAAAAAACAAAGTAAAAACCCTTTAACAGCTTTCTGCTTCCCAGGACGAAGTCTGACATGGTTACCGGTGTGTGCCGGGCAGCTCAATCTGATCAGAGCAGACCTGCCTCACTGGCCTCCCAGGACCTAGATACCTCTGTCCCCAGACCCAGCCGCTCTGCTCCTCACACCCCCAGCTTGGCCTGTCTGAAGTCTTCCCGCCCACCCCTCACAGGAACCTTCCTGCACACCCCAGCTTAGCTGAGATCGCCCGAGGAAGGCATCTCTGACCACTCCGTACTTCTCCTTCCTAGCCTCTGTCACAAGCGGTCATGTCATTATTCATGTTTACTCATTCGCTACTTAACTTCTCCTGCCTCAGCAAGGAGGCTGCAACTCCGGGGGATGGAAATCATGTGGATGCGGCCCCCCACCCCACCGTCCAGCCAACACTGCATGAAGAGCTGGCCGCACGAGCGGCCCAGTTCTGCTGCCCGTGGCGAATGAGGGAAGGATGTTTGCTCTTTTCCCTGCGCCAGAAGGTCCCCAAGCACTGATCAACCCAACAGAGGGATTCCGGCCAGCAGCCAAGGTCCACCCCCTCGCTGAGATGCCTCCCAACTGCCCTTGAACTAGAATGTAAAGTTCACCCTCTGGAAGCTTGCTGAGGCCCTGAAAAGTGTCACAGTTACGGCATATCTGACAAAAACATTTTGTGAGAAAAAATGTGGAGAAAACCAACTCATTTCAGACCTCAGACTTCAGGAAATAATTTCCTCCTCCATTGAAAGGTGAATAATTTCAGACAAAAGAAACAAACTAGCCACCTTCAGGACAGAGCAGGGGACACTCTCCGACCTCCCTGCCTTGGCCTGCTCACGGCCAGCGTGCATCTCTAGAGGACGCAGTTCCCTGCCCGGCCCATGCCACCTCCTAAAAGCCCCTTAGACCACACTGGGGGGCATAGCTGGGTTTGGGAGAGGAAATATGGGCCAGAGTCATGTTTGCTAACAATGTTTTCTTTTCTGAAGCCCATGAGGGATGAAAAGATGTTTTTCTCCACTTTCTACACAAACAGTACATAAAGAGGTGACGTTTATCAGTCCTTGATCAGAAGGCAGCCCTTGGAAAATCACATCGGGATTTTGACCCAGGAGGAGCAAGAGACTCAGGGCTGGCTATGGACTAAGCAGCACCCCAAACCAAGAGGGCCTGCAGAGCAGCAAGTCCCAGCACCTCCTGCCCCCGCCTGGCCCGGCCCACCCTGGCCCGGCGCGGCCCTGGGGAGCGGGGCGGCACTCACCGTCTGTCATGGCACTGCCATTAGGCACGCTTCCCACGTCAACAGCAGGCCCGTCCAGGAAAATCGTCAGCTCTCCGCCTGACACAACACTGCCTTTGTTCTCTGTCTGCAGGTTCAGGGTCAGCTGCGTGTTCTCCACTGTGGGGCACAAAATGCAACACGCGTGGACTAAATCAAATGCACCCCAAGTTCTGAGTCTGCAGGTGAGCAACTCCCAGTGCCCCCGGCCACGCCCACCTGCATCTCCGAGTCTGTCTCCTGGCATGGAAAAAAAGAGCGGGAAGGAATGTGGGTAACGGTGACCGCCGTGGTTGTGTTAGGCTGGTAGGAAAGAGTTGCTCTTTTTTTCTAAACATTTTATTCGCTAGGTTAGGCACAGCACTGTGAGAGAAAGGGGCGTTAATGGTGTACAGAAGAATGGGACACTGGCTGCACAGCATCCCCGCAAACTACAGGAAGAATAAAAGGAAGAGAAACAAGCCATGGCCCCCAAGGAAGAGGAGGCCTACAGAGACCTATTCTCCTCTTTTTTTTGGGGGGGTGGGGTTTCCAGGACCGGGAATCGAACTCACGACCTTGCACTTGCCAGGCAGGCGCTGTGCACTGAGCTACATCCCCAGCCTGGACCTATTCTCCTCTTACTGGAGGCTTATTCTGCTTTTCATTGAGTTAAAGGTACTTCTTGCACCAGGTGTGGTGGCACACACCTGTAATCTCAGCACCTAGGAGGCTGAGGCAGGAGGATCTCTGTGAGGCCAAAGCCAACCTGGGCTACACTGTGAGTTCAAGACCAGCCTGAACTACACAGCAAGACCCTGTCTCAAATAAACAAACAAAGCAAAAGGTACTTCTTGTTTTGTTTTGGTGCTAGGGATCAAACCTAGGGCCTATACATGCTAAACTTGTATTCTACCTCTAGCTACACCCTCAACCCCAAAATATATTCTTAAAAATTTTAATCCTGCTACACATGGTGTGCCTGTCTGGAATCCCAGTTACTCAGAAAGCTCAGGCAGGGCAATCACTAGTTCATGGCCAACCTGGGCAACACAGTGAGACTTTGTATCAAAAAAACAAATGAACAACAACAACAACAAAGGCTTTAATCCCTCAAACGCATCGTTTTGAAATACAGGGGGAAATTTCAAAGCCATCAAAGCTCACTCCAGCAAGTCGGCCCCATCGGTCCTGTAAAAAGAGACCTGGCAACATCTGGCTGTGTGACCCAGGTGAGACCTCCTCACCAGACCACAAGGCAGAGTCAGCGGGGCAGGCAGATCAGAAGAGGTGGGCAACCCCGGCAGGAGACCGAACACACTGAGGCTGCAGCAGCGCGAAACCTGAAACCCGGGGCGGGCAGGAAACGCCAGTGACACCCCAGCTCCACCACCCGGCCCGCCATGCTACAGGTTTCAATCCAAGTAAATGCTCTGCCCAGGCCAACTGCTTGCTTCCTCCTGTTCAGTTCAGCCAGTGAGGAGCACCCAGCGGTTCCCGAGCTCCCCTGCACCTTACAAGCCCAGGCCAGGGAAGTGCCACAGGGTGGAACTTCCCTCCTCCCTGCCCCACACCCAGTCCCCTACTTTGTTTTCCTTCGCCGTCACTGTTGTAGTATTACCTGTTTTCTAGACAGAGCAGGGTATTATAAATAACTGTCTCCATCAGCACTAAGGTAAATTTGTGCTCTTTCTAGGGATCGTTTCCCTCACATCCCCCCAAAAATAACAAGCCAGCTTCAGACCTAAGAAAAAGAAAGCTGGGGGTGGTGCGCACACCTGTACACCTGTAATCCCAGCACCTGGGAAGCTGCGGCAGGAGGATCACTGTGAGTTCAACACCAGCTTGAACTATAGAGTGAGATCTTGTCTCAAAAAAAAAAAAAAAAGAAAGAAAGAAAAGAAAAGAAAAGGCTCTCCAAGAACTTCACAAAAAACCTGAATCGATTCCAGGATCTCTTACAGGAAGGTAGCAGGCAGGCAGCCTCCAGCTCTCCTAAGCATCTATCTCCTGAAGCTCTCTTCTCGCAGCTCCCTCCCCGCAGGATCTCTGCAGCTCCTTTATGTGCCGGCTATTTTCAGTTTCTAAACATTTCTATAAAGTATCACTTGTCGTGTGGAAGCCAGCTCCTCCAGGGGCCGAGGACAGCCCTCCACCCACCAGCATCCCGGCATGAATGTCCGTGTGCCACTCAGAAGCAGAACCTCAGGTCTGGTCAAGTCCAAGGGGACGGCAGCACGTCACGATCGTCATGACGCCAGTGCCACCCCGAGAGAGACCCCAGGCCAGCCGAGCCGCTCCCAAGCCCCGACCACTGAAACTGGGGGATGACACGTTTGCTCATTTATTTCTTTGCTTTTCAGTGGTACTTGGTACTGGCCCAGAGCCTGGAACTCACCTCTATCCCCATGCCGTTTTTTATTCTGAGACATGGTCTGGCTTATGTTCCCCATGCTGGCCTCAAACTTGGTTTTTTTGGTTTGTTTTTAGTATTATATTGATATTTTTATTCTGATCCACTACATTATTTTTATTTTAAAGAGAAAAAAACCAAAATTTCAAAACAAGGTAACAGGAAAGAGACAATGGTTACTACGTGGCATACTGTTACCTTTAGTTACTCGGAGCACAAGATTTCAGCATTTAATTGTCCAAACAATATTAGAAACTTTCTTCCCAATGAACTACAAGAAATTAGTGCTACAACTATCTTAACTATCTTACAAATATATATATATATATATATATACACACACATATGTTTTGTTTCGTTTTGTTTTTTGCTTTTCCCTTCCTTCTTTTCTCAATTCTCCCATTTTAGTTTGTCATTCCTTTTGAAGTTTCTTCCCATTTTACAGTATCTATTGTACATTTTGGATCTTATTTACTCTTTCAGTTTCTCACACTAAGAAGACAACACAACGTCTACACATGTGCATCTGGTTTATTTCACTTAGGAATATGGTCTCGAGTTGCATACATTTACCTGCAAATGACTCCAGTTTATCCTTCTTTATGGCTGAGTAGTACACCGTTGTATAAAAAGACCATATATTTTTTATCCATTCCTCAGCTGGGCATTTGGGTTGTTTTCAAGATCTACTTATTACAAATTATATTGCTATAAACATGGGTGCATATATATCACTGTGATACGATGTTTTTAATTCTTCTAGAAAGATACCTAGAAGGGGAATAGCTGGGTCAAATGAGACCTTCAATCGTAGTTTCCTCCTCTCGTAGTTTTCTGAGGAATCTCCACACTGATTTCCACAGCACTTGCACTGCAGCAGTGCAGAAGGGTTCTTTTTTTCCCACACGGGCTCAAACGTGTGATCCTCCTGTCTCAGCCTCTAAGAGTGCTAGGATTACAGATCTGTGCCTCCATGCTCTGCTATTTATTTACTTTTTAAAGTGAGGTCAGTCAGGCGTGGTGGCGCAAGCCTGTAATCCCAGCACTCAGGAGGCTGAGGCAGAAAAATCACTGTGAGGCCAGTCTGGGTTACAAGGTTAAGTTCAAGGCCAGCCTGAAACACACAGCAAGACCTTTTCTCTGTCTCTGTCTCTGTGTCTCTTCTTTTTTGTACTGGGAATCGAACTCAGAACCTTGTTGGTGCTGTGCTGCTGAGCTATATCCCTGGCCAAGACCCTGTCTCAAAAAAAACCAAAAAAAGGGTAGGGAGAAAGAAGGGAGGGAAGGAGGGGAAGGGAAGTCTCCCCACTCCCATCTCCAGGCGAGATGCAACACGGAAGTCTCGGGTAACACCCCAGGGGCTAACTGGGCAGGCGCTGTCAGCCACCTCAGGGTCCAACCTCAGTTACCACCCAAAAGCTGTGCAGCATGAACAACTTCTTCACCTGAGCGTCTCTGCCTCCCTCCCTGCAAAACAGGAGGAATCACAGCGCCTTCTTCGGAGGACACCCGGGAAGACCTCAGGAGCCCCTAGTAAGCTCCTCATAAGCTGCCATTTCTATTACCTTCCCGTTGACTTTGCTGGTTCTATGCTGAAGAGTTTTCCTTGGTCTAATTTATTCATTTTATGTTGCTCTGGACCCTTCCGAGGCTTCTTTTTGATGGCAGCAACAAACGCCTCAGAATCATGCAGGGTAGCCACACAACCAACAGAGGGTAAACGGTCTTATCTTGCTTCTAGGACACCCCTGAAGATGCCTAGCCTCTGGGCTCAGAGCAGCGCTGTCAGGACCATTCAGACGTGGGCATTGGAGAAGGGCCCCCGCTCCCCTTCTCGCTTCTCTGAGCCCACCATTTTCAAACAGATATGGTGTGTGTCCCTCCATCCCTAGAGGATGATGGCATCCAGAAGCAAGATGGAGGAGCCCAAAGCTGCCAAGCCCACCCCCGTGACGGCCACGCTGCCGCTGTCCCCTGACAGAAGCCACAGGCACAACCTGAACTTTTCTCCCCAGGTCTCACCCCAAGGCTCAGCTGGGCTCAGCCGAGTCCTTATAGCCTCAGGGGCTTCGCGGTCGCCCTAGGAGCCTTGGGGCACACTTTACCTTCAAGAGCCACTGAGGAACAAGGGCGTCTTTTCTCTTTGAGAACAGAACCATCCACTGTTTTATTTACCAAAAGGAGAGCCAGAGAGACCCGGGCCACCAGGATCACAGCCAAGTGATCAAAGCTGCTGTCACTAAGAACACGGTGCCTTAGTGATGGCTTCTAGAATGACGCACAAAACGTCACTCTTCCAGTCTGCTAACGGCATTTAAGCTGAATCTAATCAAGCCTCTACACCTATTTTCCAGGTCACAGAACTAAGGGGCAGAGAAACAGATTAGACGACGCCACGAGACAGGCAGGCAAATCCAGGATGCGGAACACCCCCAGGCTGACTCTCCTGGGCGCCTGCAGAAGTCAGGGGCATTAGGTACACTTTTATTTCTCAAAAAGGGAGGAGAGAGATTCTTCTAAGTTTAAAGAACTGTAACCACCGAATGCCACACAAGAATTTTTACTAGACCTTGGTTTGAAAAAATATATATATTCTTGGGACAACTGAGGAAATTTGCATACAAACGGGCTACTACCTATTGTTTGAAATTACTGTTAATTTTAGATTCAAAAACAGTACTATGGCTTTTACATAAGAATATTCTTATTTTGAGAAGCAGGAGTAAAC